TAACACATTATTTTCTGATTCGTAGTTTAATCCTGATCGTTTTCATTTTCTGACTCATGGTTAAATTTCGATCATTTTCATTTTCTAACTTGTGGTTTAATCTTGATCATTTTTCTTTTCCTGACTCGTGGTTAATCTCGATCATTTTTATTTTTTTAACTCGTGATTTAATCTCAATCATTTTCATTTTCTAACTCATGGTTTAATCCAGTCATTTTCATTTTTTGACTCATGATTTAATTCTGGTCGTTTTCATTTTCTGTCTGATAGTTTAATTCAAGTCGTTTTCATTTTCTAACTCGTGATTTAATTTCGATCATTTTTTTTACTCATGAATTTATTTTCTAACTCGTAGTTTAAGCCCGGTCGTTTTTCTTTTTTTGACTCATGATTTAATTTTGATCATTTTTATTTTCTAACTAGTGTTTTAATCTGAGTCATTTTCATTTTTTGACTCGTAGTTTAATCTTGATTATTTTCATTTTTGGACTCGTGATTTAATTCCGATTGTTCTTCATTTGTTGACTCGTGATTTAATCCCGGTTATTGTTATTTCTTAACTCGTAATTTAAACCTAGTTGTATTCCTTTTTTTGACTCGTGGTTTAATCCTGGTTACTTTCATTTTCTAACTTATGGTTTAATCTCAGTCGTTTTCATTTTTTGATTCATGATTTGTTCTAATCGTTTTCATTTTTTGACTCGTGGTTTAATCTTATTGTTTTTATTTTTTGACTCATGATTTAATCCCTGTGATTTTTATTTTTTGACTCTTGATTTAATTTCAATCATTTTTATTTTTTGAGACGTGATTTAATCTTGGTCGTTTTTATTTTTTGATTTGTGGTTTAATCTAGGTCATTTTTATTTTTTAACTCATGGTTTAATCTCGGTTTTTTTTCATTTTTTGACTCATAGTTTAATCTTGATCATTTTTATTTTTTTTGACTGATGGTTTAATCCCAATCATTTTCATTTTCTAACTCATGGTTTAATCTTAGTTGCTTTCATTTTCTAACTCATGGTTTAAATATGGTTGTTTTCATTGTCTAACTCGTGATTTTAATGCCAGTTGTTTTTCATTTTTTGACTCGTGCTTTAATCATAGTCATTTTCATTTTTTAACTCGTGATTTAATCCTGGTCGTATTCATCTTTTGACTCACAGTTTAATCCTGGTCATTTTTATTTTCTGACTCATGGTAAATATAGTCGTTTTCATTTTTTCACTCATGATTTAATCTTGGTTGTTTTTCATTTCCTGACTTGTGCTTTAATCCCAGTTATTTTCATTTTTTGACTCGTGATTTAAACCTGTCATATTCATTTTCTGACTCATTGTTTAATTTCAGTCATTTTTTTTCATTTTTTGGTTGTTTTCATTTTTTGACTCGTGGTATAATTTCAATCGTTTTCATTTTTTGACTTGTGGTTTAATCTCAGCCTTTTTTATTTTGACTGATGGTTTAATCTCGATTATTTTCATTTTTTGACTCGTGATTTAATCTGGGTTGTTTCATTTTCTGACTTGTTGTTTAATCTCAGTTGTTTTCATTTTGTGACTCATGGTTTAATCCCAATAGTTTTCATTTTTTGACTCGTGGTTAATCTCAGTCATTTTTTTATTTTTGACTGATGGTTTAATCCTGATCATTTTTATTTTCTGATCATGGTTTAATTTTGATCATTTTCATTTCATGACTCGTAGTTTAATCTGGGTTGTTTTCATTTTCTAACTTATTATTTAATCTTGGTCATTTTTATGTTTTTATTTTTTTCCTCATGGTTTAATCTCGGTCATTTTCATTTTTTGACATGTGATTTAATCTTGATCGTTTTTCATTTTCTTACTCGAGGTTTAATTTTAGTCATTTTTATTTTTTAACTTCTGGTTAATCTTGGTTGTTTTTATTTTTTGACTCGTAATTTAATCTCGATTGTTTTTATTTTCTGACTCATGGTTTAATCTCAATCATTTTTTTCCTGACTTGTGATTTAATATCGATCATTTTCATTTTTTGACTCATGGTTTAATCTCGATTGTTTTCATTTTTTGACTCTGGTTTAATCCCGTCATTTTTCATTTTTTGACTCGTGGTTTTAGTTTTTGTTGTTTTCATTTTCTATCTCATAGTTTAATCCTGATCATTTTTTATTTTTTGACTTGTGGTTTAATCTCGATCGTTTTAATTTTTTGACTTATGGCCTAATCTCGGTCACTTTTATTCTCTAACTAATGATTTAATCTCGATCATTTTTTTTACTCGTAGTTTAATCTCGGTCATTTTCATTTTCTAACTCTTGGTTTAATTCGGATTGCTTTCATTTTCTGACCCATGATTAATCTTGATCATTTTTTCTCTCTGACTCATGATTTAAATTTGATAGTTTTGATTTTCTGACTTGTGGTTTAATTTCGATCATTTTTTATTTTTTGACTCGTGGTTTAATCTCGATTGTTTTCATTTTTGACTCGTGATTTAATTTCTGTCATTTTTATTTTCTGACTTATGATTTAATTTTGATCGTTTTTATTTCTGACTCGTAGTTTAATCTTAGTCATTTTTATTTTTTGATCTATGATTTAATCCTGATTATTTTTTTCTCTGACTCGTGATTTAATTTTGATTGTTTTAATTTTCTTACTTGTGGTTTAATCTCAATTAATTTTTATTTTCTGACTTGTAGTTAAATCCCAATCGTTTTCATTTTCTAACTCGTGGTTTAATCTTGATCATTTTCATTTTCTCACTTGTGATTTAATCTCGATTGTTTTTATTTCCTGACTCGTGGTTTAATTCCAATTGTTTTTCATTTTCTAACTTACGATTTAATCCCGGTTGTTTTCATTTTTTGACTTGTGATTTAAACCCAGTCATGTTCATTTTTTGACTCATTATTTAATTTTGATCGTTTTCATTTTTTGACTCGTAATTTAATCTCGTTCATTTTCATTTTCTAACTCGTGGTTTAATTCGGGTCTTTTTATTTTTTAACTTCTGGTTTAATCGTTGTCGTTTTTATTTTGTGATTTAATTTTGATCATTTTTATTTTTTTACTCATGGTTTAATCTTGATCGTTTATATTTTTTGATTTGTGGTTTAATTTCGATTGTTTTTTATTTTTTAAGACGTGATTTAATCCCCCAGTCATTTTTTTTTTTACTCGTGATTTAATTTTGATTATTTTTATTTTTTGACTTATTATTTAATCTTTGTTATTTTTATTTTTTGACTCGTAATTTAATCCTGATCGTTTTTTTTTTTATTGATCGTTTATGATAGAGGATGTTTGAACAAGTTAAAGGATCAAATTTGATACCAAACAAAATGAAAGAGATAAATGTTTTTTTTTTTTTTTTTGTAAGTGAAGGCAACAATATCTTATATCCGAACAAAAACTATATATTTTACTTAGTATTTTATAAAAAGAACTTATACTTTTACAATTAAGGAAATTCGAACAGTTGAATAATCAACTTTAAAATCAAACAAAATGAATAGGAAAAAATTTTTTTTGGAAAAACAAAAGCAATAATATTGTGTATCCAAATGGTAACATACTATTTTACTTGGTATTTTAAGCTGCTATCTAGTTAAACCCAACAAAAACTCAACTAGCTTTGATGAAAATGACTATTTTAATGGCTTTTTGGTTAAACCCAGCAAGCTTTACGCGCAAGAGATACCCATTTCTCGTCTATTTGTTAGTATATTTCATGAGAATTTTTTTTCCTTTATGTTATTTATAAAAAAAAGGAAATTTTGATATTTGGGTTTTGTTTATTGAAATTTCTCATGGCAAAGGAAATAATTTGCCTATAACATCTTAATTAAGTTTTTTTATCCTATCTCACTGCACTTTTACCAAACAAATAGCATCTCATACTTGATTTTTAATCTTATAATATATTTACCAATCTCACCATTATCATTACCATTATTTTTAATCCTTGTTATGTTAAATAGATTCTACCCGATTTTGAAAAAAAAGTGCATAATTTTTCCAAAAGGTAAGTATATATACTCTTTCTATATTTCTCTCATTTTATCTTTTTCACTTTAAAGTATTTTTTAATGAAAATAAAGATGAAAAATCATCTTTTCTTTTATTCTCTTTCCTTTTTTTAATAAATATAATAATTAAAATAATTATTTTCTTACTTTTTGATTTAACTGTTTCGTTTAAAAATATTTATTTTTTAGAGAATTTTTCAAAAGCAACAATTAACCGAAAAAATCACCATAAATTTTATGGAGAAATTTTCACATCAAACCATGTATATTTATAGTTGTCTTCTAATTATAATATATATTTTTACATGTTTGCCTCAATTGGAAGAATCTTTAAAAGATGAAATTTTGAATTTGTATTTATATAAGATGAGATTTTAAATTTTAAATTAATCTATAATTTTTAAAAACTTATTTTAACTTAAAATAAAAAAATAATACGATAAATTATAAAATAATAATTCGATTGGTAAAAAAATCAAAAAAAATTTTCAAATAAAAATTTAGTAATCATTTAAATTTTTTATATTTTATTATAAACAATTAAGCATTAAAATTTTTTTTTATTTTAAATCAATTAAATTCTTAAATATTTATTTTTATTTAATTAAACCTTTCATTCTATAAAAGATTCAATTGAAAATAGATTTTTAAAAATATAATTAATTAAAAATAGATTTGTAGTGTAATTCTCCACTAATTTTGTTCTCTTTCTCCCAACGGATTTTCCGAAGCTTTCTATCAAAATTACACTACAAAATAAAATCTCATAACCAAACAGAACCCAGAAACTGGATCATCCTTTCTCTCTTTCCACTTCGCCTTTGAATTCAAAATCTCACTCTTACTTCTCAGTCATTCTGTTTCTTGAATACGGTTCTGTTTTGATCTTTATTTCTAGATTTAATGTTCTTCTTTTTTTTTTTTTTCTGACTGTTTTGATTTGTTGGTTGAATATACTTTTTTTTAGTGAGTCAGGTAATTCAGAATGCAGGCGTCAACACATTTAATCAAAGGAAATTTAGGCTTTGAGCTTTCAAAACAGACAGTTTTACCTTGTTTTGGTAAAGTTACGGAACGGAATTTAACTTTGAATCGTAATCTTTGGATCCGAAGTGGTTCCATTTGCAGCGGTTTAAACTCCGGTGCCGTTTCAATGGGAACTGAGCTCGCACGTGCCAGAAATGGCATCGAAACTGTCGTTCGCTCTTCGGTCAAATCTCGATCGGTCAAAGCCCAGGTTTCCGGTCTCTCTCTCTCTCTCTCTCTCTCTCTCTCTCTCTTTTTCTTTTTTTAATTTTAATCTGCGTTTCGGTTGAATTTTTTTAGTGAATTAATGTTAGATTTTTAAAGTAAGAAAAATTTCTTGATGAACGCATTGCATGTTTGATGAGATCGGTTTTTCTCTGCCTAATGATATTAAAGGCTGATACATGACTGATTGCGGGAGTAATAGATAATTTTGTTATTTGTTTAGATTTGTTATTTTCTGTTGTTTTGGGCTAGTGTTAGGCCCAGCTCAGGGGATAATCGATAAGGGGTAATATGGATATTTCCATATATTGCAACTGTCTGCTACAAAAAGGATGAGCGTGAGGCATTGGGCACGAAAAGGAAGCAAATTCTGTTTTGCTCTCTCCCTCTTAATTCTTTGGATTTTTCTTTCCTCTCCTCTATTGTCTATTTTCTCTTTTCTATTATTTTTTCCTTTCTATTTCCCATCTTAAAGGACTGCATCAAAGGCACAAAACATTGCTCTTGTTAATCATCTGCATTTGTTTTAGTTATTAGACAGATATTTCAAATTCTCTTATGTATAAAAAAACTTCGGAGGCATTGCGTCCTGGGAATTGTAGGAAGCATCTTGTAAAGAAATGAGTCATTTTGGTTTTGTTTGGCTGTCAATTTCGATACTTTCCTTTTTGCTTCTTGAAAAATCAATGGAAAGTAAAAGTAAATAATATAAAATAACATCTTGTATTTGATTAAACCGGAAATGTGACACATTCAAAAGTTATTATTCCCTATAAAAGTAAATTCATGCATTTTGGTGTTTAAAAGGTTAAATTTTTTACTTTTAATTATATAGGAATATAACTTGATTTTGTTTCCAAGCATGCTTTTTGCTTCTAGTGCAAAATACAAGTAGCAAAAACAATAACTAAATTCTACTGATATATTCTATGGCACTATGGTGATGGTTTAGGGTATAACTAGTTACATACTTTATTCTTGCAAATGCGTTTAACTGATTTTGTTATTGTGTTAGTTTAATTCAGACGTAACATTCTTTCCACTAAAATCTATTAACTTGCATGGTTGTGTTGGTAATGTTGAATGTATGCTTGTCAGATTCTTTCTAACCTGCTTTTCTATATTGTTTTCAAATGGCAATTGGGCTGTAGAAATAGATAAGTATACTCTCCAGTAATACCAAAGCATCAGAGAGAATCAATATGGTTCATTTATGTGTCCCAAAAAAATATGATGCCTGCAACAAGGGATGTGGGTGAATGTTTCCAGTATTTTGTGAATGGTCAAACACTGGAGAAGATTCCCTCCATTGGTTATATTCTAGATAAAAAAAATATTTGTTGCAGAAATTTATGCAAAGAATCCATGATCGATATCTTGGCAGTTGGCATGCTCCATTTTTTTTATCATATGGCTTATTTGTTTGTTGCTTTGTGCTTGGCTTTGATAATGCTACACTCTTCTAATTCCCCCCACCCTCCTTTTCTTTTTCTTTCTTCAGGGTGGTAAATGGTGCTCTTGAATATCTATCTAAGGATCTAGGGATTGCTGTAAATACTGTCATGCAAGGCATGTGTTGTGATCTTTAATTACTATGAAAATTCAGCCTCTTAATTTGTTTCTTTTTCCTTTCCTTTCCTTTTCCTTTGATTTGTTGTTTGTTTCTAAAATCTTTTCCATGTGTATTTTGGTCTCTCATAAACCAAATTCCCATAACACGTTTATTACTTGAAGATTATTTAGTGAAATTAAGTGAAATAGAGCACATTCAACTCCCCATTCTGTTCATCTCTCGTCATGTGTTTTGTTTATAAAAGTGAAATGGCTTCGCTTGTAATCATTTGAGCAATGTCAGACATTGTTGGATTGTTTTTTTGCCTTTCTGTCAATTTGGTTATTTTGATTATGCGTGTAATTTGTTAGTCTTTAAATTGTACAACTTTTCAACTAACTAGCTAACTTCTTGTTACGTTATGTTAATCTAAGTAGTATAGGTTGTCAGCACACTCCTTGCTGGTGCCACTGTTGGTTCATTTACTGGGGGAGAACTAGCAAACAAGTTTGGCTGGACAAGGACTTTTCAATTAAATGCTATCCCTCTTACTATTGAAGCTGTTCTTACTTTGTATAATTTCATTAACTATCACCTTGTCTACTGTCATAGAAAACTAATTCTTCAAAATGCCTTAAATGTTTTCAGTGATACGGCCCAGACTGTCCAGACTATGATAATTGGCCACTTACCAGCTAGTGTTGGTATTGGTATATCATCTGCTATTGTTCCACTTTGCATATCTGAGGTATTTTTCATCTTTATTATTTGCTTTAGTTGTCTAGTTTTTTGGAAACATCTGCTGACATTCTTTCTATTTGTCAGATCTCACCAACTGAAATCCGTGGTGCCCTTGGATCTATAAACCAACTTTTTATATGTATTGGGATTCTGGCAGCGTTGGTGGCTGGATTACCTATAGTTGGAAACCCGCTATGGTATATTATCCTAGAACATTTTATACTTGTGTCACATGGTTCATTTGGTATGTTAAATTGTGTTTTTACTATTTGTCTGGAAACTACTGAGCATGCATTCAATCATGCATCTAAAGAGTTTGGACCCTTCTAACTGTTGATGAGAATTGTAGTTAGAAGTTTCTAAAATCTGGGTTGAATTTGGTAATAAAGCTTAAAAGTTCTTTCTTTTTTTTTTTCTTTGGTAGCTATAATTGGTAGAAAATCTTTCCCTTGCAGGTCTCCAAGACCATTCTTCCTCTCATTGGGCCCTTTTCATGGAATGATAGGCTTATTTTATCCCTTTTTTGCATTATTTTTTTCTTTTTTTTTCTTCATTCATCTTGCTGGCAAAAGGGTGACGGGTAGAATAATAAGACATGGGTTAAAAGGATAAAAATGACCTTTCCTTTACTAATCATATTGGGCAAATGTTTTTAGACAAAGCACAATGGTGTAATATAATTCATGTAGTCAATCCCACACACTATGCTGTGGGATTAGGCTTCTTTGTTGTCCATTTGTTGTCATTATACTATATTCCTTGTAACTGTATTCCCTACGCACCTGAGCATTTGTCTCAATCATAGGTGCATGTACCTCCCTGCTCAAAGAGCCGGGGGAAAATCCCTTCTTCCCCAAAAAAGTTGTACTAGATAAAAAAAAAGGAAAAAAAAAAGAAAAAGCTCCATCTGACTAGTTTGAATGTCTAATTTTTTTGTTTGCTTTCTGATCTATCTTTACTTTTTGGATCTTCTTCTGTGTTTGTGAGATTGAGTGAATAGGTCAGGAAAATGCCTCTGCATCTCTATACATATTAATGTTGTGCATGATGTACCAAAATGTAATTGAGAATTGGGTTTCTTTTGCAATTAAATTTTTGTGTCTACTTAAGCATTTACACTAACTAGTTCTGTCTTATTTATATTTTTTTCTATTAGGTGGAGGACAATGTTTGGTATTGCTGCTGTCCCTTCCATTTTATTGGCACTAAGAATGGCTTTTTCCCTAGAAAGTCCTCGGTGGCTTTTTCAGGTTTGATATTGGACTACTCAGTCTCTTTATTTTGCATTTCTATTCCTCTCACATCGATATATATATATATATATATATTATTGATTCCTTATTGATTGAACACATCAATTTCGCAGCAAGGGAAAATTCCTGAAGCTGAAAAATCTGTAAGAACATTAAATGGAAAGGAAAGAGTTGCTGAGGTTATGTATGAGTTAAGAACTGCAGGTCAGGGTTCGACAAAACAAGAAGTAGGTTTTTTTTTTTTTTTCTAATTTGTTTAGAAATAATTTGGTTTTTTGGTGAATTCTCTAAATTTAGAGAGAGGAGCTGTTTTAATATGGTCTTTTTGTGGCATGTATGTGTTGTGATAAACTTTGATGGTTTTGTTCATGTTTATTTTGCCCTTTAGTATATTGGAGTTGAGTATGGAAAAGGTTTTGAGACTTTGAGGCTGGACGGGCCTTTAAAGGTTGATGTGGTAAGGAATTTAAGTGACTCTACATTCACTTGATTGGTTTGTCAGGGTTTTCAATGAGTTTGGCCATCTTATTGCCTTACGAATTTCTTTTGGTTTGAATAGGATTACTTGAATGATAGATTACAAGAAGGTTTTCTTAAGCGAATTCACTATACCGTGAAACCAAATGAAGCATATGGTCTAATGTGGTGGTAAGTCAAGCATTTTTCATATATCTCAGAGTCATATGATGATGGATATATACTTTTAGTTGACCTTTTATGTATATTTACTAGTCTTTGTGATGTGGGATTAAATATAGTAAATTAAGGATGTGATATAACAGTCCTAACCAGATAGAAAATAAATGGCTATCATGTCAAGCATGTTTTTAGCTTTGTTTCTCTTTTAAATAAGGTACTTGAATTTAGTGTTATCAAGTGTGCTAGGTGCACTATAGGCTCTAGAACCCTTATATTGGTTGAGGTGCAATGTGCAAAAAAATCGGCTGCCTAAGTGAAGTAAGGTGCAATATGTATATATGTGTGTCTACATATAAAAAAGCTTAAGACATATAATTCTGATAATACACTGTAAAGACTGGTCCATTTCTAAATTCTGTCCTACAAAACATGCAAAACTTCCTCTTTTCTTTTTTGGCCAATATGAAGAAAGCCTTTGTTTTTGCAATGGCTATACCTACAACAGTGGCAGTAAATGGGGGCTTGAAGATGGGAAGTGTTTCACAAGCTTATTTAGAGAGCAAAATAGTGAAGGAGACAAGGTCTTTGGTATCTGAGCTTTTTCGCCAGTTCTATAATCTTGGATGGGTCTCAAAAATAGGTGGTAGCATTGCCATGAAGGTTCATGATAGTTGTATCCCTAAGCCTCAGGAGCTCAACCTTATGTCCCCTTCTGGTACCTATTTCTCTATCAATCACATTTTTTTGCCTTCTGTATAGTTAGTATTGAAGCTCAAAGGTGTGTTTTTTAAACTTTTTTTTTTTATTTTTTAGTTTTTGATATCTGGACCATTGTTATTGTAGCTTAATTATTGGTTGTCTTATTTTTTGGTTCTTGGATCCTGGCTATTTGTTGCTGAAGCTTAAAGTTCTGTTTTTTGATGACTAATTTGGGAAGTTTGACTTGGGTTAATACTTTAGCTGCGTTATTATTATGATTATTATTATTATTATTATTATTTTAACTTTTTGGTTTTTGGGTTTTGTTATGCAAGCTAAAAGTTGTATTTTCTTATGATTAATTTGGGATGTTTGATATTTTACGTATTTTATTGTCTTAGCTTAGTATTTACTTTTCACGGTTCTTTTGGCTTATGTGCATTTCATATCCAAGCTCAAGTCAGTCTTTGTGTATTAATTTGGAATGTTTGCTATATGGGTTGTTGTTTTTCTGTGAAAGCTAGGTTTCATTCTTTATTTTCATCTACTAAAATTGATGTATTCTTGCATTTTTATAAGGCTGTACTACCATCCATTTGATGTTAATGATGCCGAGAATTGATGGTTGAGATGTTGAAGATTAATTGTAAATAGAAAAACTCATAAGAATTTGAATAAAGACGGAATACTGTTATTGGATTAAAATGATAAAAGTTCACCACCAAGACTAGACACTAAGGGATAAATAAACAACACCAAAAGAATTTTAATCAAGGATATAGAACTATAGAAGTTCACCACTCTAGTAAATTCACCTAAGAGATACAGAACTTGAGAACAATCTAAAAGATTGCTTAAGGATAAAACAACTCTATTCTACCTTAAGATTGCCTTTTTTGGATTGCTGAATTGATGGGATCGCCTTTAATCTTGTCTTGTTGAAATGGTGCCTAAAATCATGGGATTTGCATGTGAATACAATAATCTGTAGTGTAAACATAATTAGCTACCCATTTACTCCTGCAAATTACAAGCCTTGCACATTGATAATATGCTTAATATTTGGTGTCTAGGTTCATCCATGAATCTGACCATCATCCCATCCATTTTCATGCTCTCCTTTTCCAGCTAGTGTGAACACAATCTCTCTATTCTAGCCTCTCTTATTTCTACATTTGTTTAGTGGATTTGGATCAATGATAGGCCCATCTTAGTTTTGGATAAGTCCTTCTTAATCTCTGCCCAAGCTGTAAGATGTGTTGAGACTCTGGTATCAGTTAAAGTATGCCATACGCATATTTCAGGTAGCAGTTATTTTAGGGGATGCTCGCCATGCTCTAGAGATATGCAGGCGTGCAGCAGAAATTGCAGATTATCAATCAAATTTAAAATGTGAATTCTTCTACACGTAAATAAGCTTTCTAGAATGATTAGAATTTGTTGCGAGGTTTGCATGTTGTTTTATTTTGATTAACCAATTATTTGTTGTGATGACCAATTTTGTTTGGTGGAGCTGACAAGCTCAAGGAAGAAGTGAGGCTAATGACTACACTTGAGGAAGAGATGGAGCATAAAGATAAAGTAAGGATGGTCAAGCTCCGCGCTCTAGGTAACATTCCTTTAATTGGTAAGCTTCTGAAGCAGAAAATGGTACCTAAGAAAATAGTCCATCATATCGTACAGGTTATTGGAGCGGTTCTTATGTTTCAATTAGATGCTATCCCTCTTATTATTGGAGCGGTTCTTACTTTGTATCATTTCATTAACTATTAGCTTGTCTACTGTCATAGAAAACTAATTCTTCAAAATGCCTTAAATGTTTTCAGTGCTACGGCCCAGACTATCCAGACTGATAATTGGCTGCTTACTGGTCAGTGTTGGTATTGGTATATCATCTGCTAATGTTCCACTTTAGATATCTGAGTTATTTTTCATCTTTACTATTTTCTTTAGTTGTCTAGTCTTTTGGAAACATCTGCTGACATTTTTTCTATCTGTCAGATCTCACCAACTGAAATCCGTGGTGCCCTTGGATCTATAAACCAACTTTTTATATGTATTGGGATTCTTGCAGCGTTGATGGCTGGATTACCTTTAGCTGGAAACTGGCTATGGTATATTATCCTAGAACTTTTTATACTTGTGTCACATGGTTCATTTGGTATGTTAAATTGTGTTTTTACTATTTGTCTGGAAACTACTGAGCATGCATTCAATCATGCATCTAGAGTTTGGACCCTTCTAACTGTTGATGAGAATTGTAGTTAGAAGTTTCTAAAATCTGGGCTGAATTTGGTAATAAAGCTTCAAAGTTCTTTTTTTTTTTGGTAGCTGTAAGGTTCTTTTTTTTTTTTTGGTAGCTGTATTTGGTAGTAAATCTTTCCTTTACTAGTCTCCGAGACCGTTCTTCCTCTCATTGGCCCCTTTTCATGGAATGATAGGCTGATTTTATCCCTTTTCTGCATTATTTTTTTCTTTTTTTTTCTTCATTCATCTTGCTGGCTAAAGGGTGACGGGTAGACCAATAAGACATGTGTTAAAAGGATCAAAATGACCTTTCCTTTACTAATCATATTGGACAAATGTTTTTAGACAAAGCACAATGGTGTAATATAATTCATGTATTCAATCCCACACACTATGGTGTGGGATTAGGCTTCTTTGTTGTCCATTTGCTGTCATTATACCATATTCCTTGTAACTATATTCCCTACACATCTGAGCATTTGTCTCAATCATAGGTGCATGTATCTCCCTGCTCAAAAAGCCGGGGGCAAATCCCTCCTTCCCCAAAAAAGTTGTACTAGATTAAAAAAAAAGAAAAAAAAAAGAAAAAGCTCCATCTGACTAGTTCGAATGTTTAATTTTTTGGTATGCTTTCTGATCTATCTTTATTTTTTGGATCTTCTTCTGTGTTTGTGAGATTGAGTGAATAGGTCAGGAAAATGCCTCATCACTATGCATATTAATGTTGTGCATGATGTGCCAAAATGTAATTGAGAATTGGACTTCTTTTGCAAATAAATTTTTGTGTTTACTTAAGCTTTTACATTAACCAGTTCTGTCTTGTTTATATTTTTTTCTATTAGGTGGAGGACAATGTTTGGTATTGCTGTTGTCCCTTCTATTTTATTGGCGCTAGGAATGGCTTTGTCCCCAGAAAGTCCTTGGTGGCTGTTTCAAGTTTCTTATTGGACCACTCAGTCTTTTTATTTTGCGTTTCTATTCATCTCACATTGATATATATAATATTGATTCCTTATTGATTGAACACATCAATTTCACATCAAGGGAAAATTCCTGAAGCTGAAAAATCTGTAAGAACATTAAATGGAAAGGAAAGAGTTGCTTAGGTTATGTATGAGTTAAGAACTGCAGGTCAGGGTTCTACAGAACAAGAAGCAGGTGTTTTTTCTTTTCTAATTTGTTTAGAAAGAATTTGATTTTTTGGTGAATTCTCTAAATTTAGGGAGAGGAGCAGTTTTAATATGGTCTTTTTGTGGTATGTATGTGTTGTGATAAATTTTAATGGTTTTGTTCATGTTTGTTTTGCCTTTTAGTATATTGGAGTTGAGTATGGAAAAGGTTTTGAGACCTTTAGGCTGGACAGGCCTTTAAAGGTTGATGTGGTAAGGAATTTAAGTGACTTTACATTCACTTGATTGGTTTTATCAGGGTTTTCAATGAGTTTGGCCATCTTATTGCCTTACGAATTTCTTTTGGTTTGAATAGGATTACTTGAATGGTAGATTACAAGAAGGTTTTCTTAAGCGAATTTGCTATACCATGAAACCAAATGAAGCATATGGTCTAATTTTCTCTTGGGATAATGTGGTGGTAAGTCAAGCATTTTTCGTATATCTCAGAGTCATATGATGATGGATATATACTTTTGGTTGACCTTTTATGTATATTTATTTGTCTTTGTGATGTGGGATTAAATATAGTAAATTAAGTATGTGATATAACAGTCCTAACCAAATAGAAAATAACTGGTTATCATACCAAACATGTTTTTAGCCTTGTCTCTCTTTCAAATAAGGGACTTGGATTCAGTGTTATCAAGGGTGCTAGGTGCACTATGGGCTCTAGAACCGTTATATTGCTCGAGGTGCAATGTGCAAAACAATTGGTTGCCTAAGTGAAGTAAGGTGCAATATGTATATATGTGTGTCTACATATAAAAAAGCTTAAGATATATAATTCTGATAATAAACTGTAAAGACTAGTCCATTTCTAAATTCTATCCTACAAAACATGCAAAACTTCCTCTTTCTTTTTTGGCCAATATAAAGAAAGCCTTTGTTTTTGCAATGGCTATACCTACAACAGTGGCAGTAAACGGGGGCTTGAAGATGGGGAGTGTTTCACAAGCTTATTTAGAGAGCAAAGTAGTGAAAGAGACAAGGTCTTTGATATCTGAGCTTTGTCGCCAGTTCAATAATCTTGGATGGGTCTCAAAAATAGGTGGCAGCATCACCATGAAGGTTCATGATAGTTGTATCCCTAAGCCTGAGGAGCTCACCTTTATGTCCCTTTTTGGTACCTATTTCTCTATCAATCACCTTTTTTTTGCTTCTGAATAGTTAGTATTGAAGGTCAAAGATGTGTTTTTTAAACCTTTTTGTGATTATTTTTTAGTTTTTGATATCTGGACCATTGTTATTGTAGCTTAATTATTGGTTTGTCTTATTTTTTGGTTCTTGGATCCTGGCTATTTGTTACTGAAGCTCAAAGTCCATTTTTTTGATGACTAATTTGGGAAGTTTGACTTGGGTTATTATTTTAGCTACGTTGTTGTTATTATTATTATTATTATAACTTTTTGGTTTCTAGGTTTTGTTATGCAAGCTAAAAGTTGTATTTCTTATGATTAATTTGGGATGTTTGATATTATAGGTTTTTTATTGTCTTAGCTTAGTATTTACTTTTCATAGTTCTTTTGGCTTATCTGCATTTCATATCCAAGCTCAAGTCAGTCTTTGTGTATTAATTTGGAATGTTTGCTATATGGGTTGTTGTTTTTCTATGAAAGCTAGTTTTCATTCTTTATTTTCATCTACTAAAATTGATGTATTCTTGCATTTTTATAAGGTTGCACTACCATCCATTTGATGTTAATGATGCCAGGAATTGATGGTTAAGATGTTGAAGATTAATTGTAAATAGAAAAACTCACAAAAGTTGACAACTCATAAGAATTTGAATAATGTCATAATATTGTTATTGGATTAAGATTATAAAAGTTCACTACCAAGACTAGACACTAAGGGATACAAAAACAGACAACACCCTAAAAATTTTAATCAAGGATATAGAACTATAGAAGTTCACCACTCTAAGAAATTCACCTAAAAGATGCAAAACTTGAGAACAATCTAAAAGATTGCTTATGGATAAAACAACACTATTCCTACCTTAAGATTGCCTTTTTTTATTGCTGAATTGACAGAATCACCTTCAATCTTGTCCTGCTGAAATGGTACCTAAAATCATGGGATTTGCATGTGAATGTAATAATCTGTAGTGTGAACATAATTAGCTATCTATTTATTCCTGCAAATTACAAGCCTTGCACATTGATAATGTGCTTAATATTTGGTGTCTAGGTTCATCCATGAATCTGACTATAATCCCATCCATCTTCATTCTCTCCTTTTCTAGCTATTGTGAACACAATCTCTCTATTCTAGCTCCCCTTATTTTTACATTTGTTTAATGGACTTGGATCAATGATATGCCAATTTTAGTTTTGGATAAGTCCTCCTTAATCTCAGCCCAAGTTGTAAGATGTGTTGAGACTCCGGTGTCAGTTAAAGTATGTCATATGCATATTTCAGGTAGCAGTTATTTTAGGGGATGCCCACCATGCTCTAGAGATATGTAGGTGTCAGCAGAAATTGCAGATTATCATATCAAGAATCAAATTTTAAATGTGAATTCTTCTACGTGCAAATAAGCTTTATAGAATAATTAGAATTTGTTGCGAGGTTTGCATGTTGTATTATTTTGATTAACCAATTATTTGTTGTGATGACCAATTTTGTTTGGTGGAGCTGACAAGCTCAGGGAAGAAGTGAGGCTAATGACTACCCTTGAGGAAGAGATGGAACATAGAGATAAAGAAGGGATGGTCAAGCTCCGCACTCTAGGTAACATTCCTTTGATTGGTAAGCTTCTGAAGCAGAAAATGGTACCTAAGAAAATAGTCCATCATATCATACAGGTTATTGCCAATACATCCTTTCTCATCCATGGAACTCAAATTTATCGTACGTTATGCTAAATCATTTTTTGCCTATTTTGTCAAATAGGGAACTTTTGGGCCCTAATACTAGAGCTTGCCCTGCAGAGGAGAATGTTGAAGCCATTTGTCAGGTCTTCAACACTATTGGTAAGCAACTTGATGAGAGTTCAAAATCACAGCGCATAAATGATATGTACTTTACGAGACTGAAGGAATTGATTTCAAATCCTCTGCTTGCGCCAAGACTGAGATTTATGGTTCATGATGTTCTTGATCTGCATGCAAACAAATGGATTCCCAGGCATGAGGAGGTAACTCATAAATGCCATCAAATTCTGTGTTAGATTAGATATTTTTTTGTGTTGTGTAGAAGGCACCAATTAGGTAGCTTCTTGTGGCTTATAGAAAATGTGATGGTCCTTTTATTGGGCAAAAATCAGTGTCCAGACATTCTTGTGGCTTTGATGACTTTTACTTGGGCAATAGCCAATGCTCAAGTCTATCTTTGATAGAGATTAAGAGTGAGCCATCATACCAAGACGCATTAAAGACTTGCTCAAATCTTAGTTCTTCATTTGATGGTTCATGCCAAAAATGCACCGATGCAATGCAAAATGTGGTGGATAACCAATCGGAACTGTTGCAAAGGAAAAAAAAATCATATTGAAAGAGCAATATGTGGATTGGCAGTTGTTATTTCAATTGCTGCTGCAAAAATTGATAATTACCCTTTCATCGATGATTTGTTTAGATGTACGTCTTCTTCAGACAATTTAGGTAAGAATCAGAAATTAGGTAGTATCACTTTTACCTTTTTTTCAATTATTTTGTTTTGAGTTATAACTGTACTGTTTTGCCTAACAAATCATAGCTACATCAAAATGAAATGCAAGTGTAACCATTTTTCTACTTGTTACTGTTGAATACAAATCGAGGGCTATTAGGCTGACATGGTAGGAGCAAACTTTAAAGATTACTTTTCATTAGTTATTTATGCTAAGATGCATTGGTTTTGACATGCTAACCAAATTGAAACATATAACTTTTTTACTCTATAAAGTCTTTCAACTTCTAATACTCACTAAAATGATTCTGGTGTTGGTGTTGCATTCCATGCTCCTAGGCGTGAGGAGGTAATTCATGAAAATTTGCTTTGCATTCCATGCTCTCTCTTGACACCAAGATTGGTTTAGTTAATCTATTCGGTGCAACTAGATTTTTTTGCATTATATAATTACTAATTATGCTGTTTTCATTGAGTATTTTCTTTGAATTTTCATGGAAGAATGATAAAACTTGATAGTTCCAACTGCAACTAAGAGAGTTCAAGAGCTGGAATGGTTAAAGAAAGACTTGGAGAGGGGAAATTAGGAGTTGCAGGCTTTGTAGAACTAGGAATTAACAACATAAACTTTTTCTTAAATTATTACTTTATATTAACTACTGTAACTTTGGTCACAGGTTTCATCTCACGCTTTGAATTTTTTTTTTTAATGTTACTTGTAAACTTTATCATAACTAGAATTAGACTTGTATTTAATTGTAAGATAATTTTTTATTTTTTAAAATTATATTTTAAATATAAAAAGTAAAATTTTTATGTCAAATTTATACAAATCATTATTTAAATAAATATTAATTTAATAAAATACTAAAAATTATTATAACAAACTGAGTGAAATCCCGACATTAGTATATTATAAATTACATAATATGCTAATTTAATATAATATCTTAATGAATTTTTTTATCTTATCTCATTACACTTTTACTAAACAAATAGCATCTCATGCTTAATTTTTAATCTCATAATACATTTATCAATTTCACCATTATTGTTATCATTATTTTTAATCTTTATTATGTTAAATAGATTTTACCCATTTTGAAAAAAAAATTGTTTAATTTCTCTAAAAGGTAAGTGTATATATTTTTTTCATAATTTCTGTCATTTTATCTTTTTTAATTTAAAGTATTTTGTAATGAAAATAAAGATGGAAAATCATCATTTCTTTTATTCTCTTTCATCTTTTTTTTTTATATAAATATAATAATTAAAATAATTTTTTTCTTACTTTTTTCACGTAGCTGTTACATTTAAGAATATTTATTTTTTAGAGAATTTATTGAAAGTAACTATTGGTTGAAAAAATCGTGATAAACTTTATGGACAAATTTTCACATCAAGTCATGTATATTTATAATTGTGTTTTTACTTATAATATATATGTTTACATATTTGCCTCAATTAAAAGAATCTTTAAAAGATGGAATTTTGAATTGGTACTCACATAAGATGAGATTTTAAAATTTAAATTAATCTACAATTTAGATGTTAAAAGCTTGTTTTAGCTTAACACTAAAAAATAATACGATAAATTATAAAATTATAATTCGATTGGCAAAAGAGTCAAAAAGATTTTTAGATAAAAATTTAATAATTATTTACGTTTTTGATATTTTATTATTATTAATTAAACACTATTTTTTGTTTTAATTCAATTAAATCTTTAAATATTTATTTTTATTTAATTAAATTTTTAAATATTTATTTTTTTAATTAACCCTTTCATTCTAAAAAAATTCAGTTGATAAAAATAAATTTTTAAAAATATAATTAATTAAAAAAATAATAAAAATTTAAATAATTATTAAATTGTAATTCCAAAAATTTCTTTATCTTTTTATGTAATTCAATTTGAATAAAAAAAAAAAACAAGAATTTATTGCATGAGAAGCGCCCACGTCAATGTCAACACGATTATAAATCTAATTCAAAATAATCTCACGTAATCATATATCCATCCAAACACCGATACTCTCAACGTAATTTACATTTCTTATTATTCTCGTTTAAAAAAAATTTTATGCCTTTGATTCTGTGAATCTCCACAAATTGATTAGTATATTGTAAAATTTAAAATTTTATAATTAATTAACTTCAATTTTTTGAAAAAGAAAAAACAAAAGAAAGAGAGAGAATAATGGATTGAATTCTCCACCAATTTTGTTCTTGGAAAGTTTTTAGTAAGCAAACAGTTTTTCTTTTTCTCTCAACGGATTTTCCGAAGCTTTCCATCAAAATTACACTACAAAATAAAATCTCACATCCAAACAGAACCCAGAAACTGGATCATCCTTTCTCTCTCTCTCCACTCCGCCTTTGAATTCGAAATCTCACTCTCACTTCTCAGTCATTCTGTTTCGTGAATACGGTTCTGTTTTGATCTTTATTTCTAGATTTAATGTTCTTCTTCTTTTCTTTTTTTTTGACTGTTTTGATTTGTCGGTTAAATATATATTTTTTTTGGTGAGTCAGGTAATTCAGAATGCAGGCGTCAAAACATTTAATCAAAGGAACTTTAGGCTTTGAGCTTTCAAAACGGAGAGTTTTACCCTTTTTTGGTAAAGTTACGGAACGAAATTTAACTTTGAATCGTAATCTTTGCATCCGAAGTGGTTCCATTTGCAGCGGTTTGAACTCCGGTGCCGTTTCAATGGGAGCTGAGCTTGCACGTGCCAGAAATGGCATCGAAACTGTCGTTCGCTCTTCGGTCAAATCTCGATCGGTCAAAGCCCAGGCTTCTGGTCTCTCTCTCTCTAATTTTAATCTGCGTTTTGGTTAAATTTTTTTAGTGAATTAATATTAGATTTTTAAAGTGAGAAAAATTTCTTGATGAACGCATTGCATGTTTGATGAGATCGGTTTTTCTCTGCCTAATGATATTCATGCCTGTGGGAGTAATAGATAATTTTGTTATTTGTTTAGATTTTTTATTTTCTGTTGTTTTGGGCTAGTGCTAGGCCAAGCTCAGTAGCTGGGATAATCCATATGGATATTGCCATATATTGCAACTGTCTGTTACAAAAAGGATGAACGTGAGGTATTGGGCACTCACGAAATGGAAGCAAATTCTGTTTTACTCTCTCCCTCTTAATACTTTGGATTTTTCTCTCCTCTTCTCTATTCTCTACTTTCTCTTTTCTATTATTTCTTTCTTTCTATTTCCCATCTTAAAGGACTGCATTAAAGGCACAAAACATTGCTCTTGTTAATCATCTGCATTTGTTTTAGTTATTAGACAGATATTTCAAATTTTTTATGTATAGAAAAACTTCGGAGGCATTGCGTCCTGGGAATTGTAGGGAGCATCTTGCAAAGAAATGAGTCATTTTGGCTTTGTTTGGTTGTCAATTTCGATACTTTCCTTTTTGCTTCTCAAAAAATTAATGGAAAGTAAAAGTATATAATAAAAAGTAGCATCTTGTATTTGATTAAACCTGAAATGTGACACATTCAAAAGTTATTATTCCCTGTAAAAGTAAAGTCATGCATTTTGGTGTTTAAAAGGTTAAATTTTTTACTTTTAATTATACAAGAATATAACTTGATTTTGTTTCCAAGCATGCTTTTTGCTTCTAGTGCAAAATATAAGTAGCAAAAACAATAACTAAATTCTACTGATATATTCTATAGCACAATGGTGATGGTTTAGGGTATAACTAGTTACATACTTTATTCTTGTAGATGTGTTTAACTGATTTTGTTATTGTGTTAGTTTAATTTGGACATAACATTCTTTCCACTAAAATCTATTAACTTGCATGGTTGTGTTGGTAATGTCGGATGTATGCTTGTCAAATTCTTTCTAACCTGCTTTTCTATATTGTTTTCAAATGGCAATTGGAATTATTCTGCAGGTGGAGACATTGAGGATTTGAAACTGATCAACCCTCAGGGGAAATCATCTGGGATGGTTCTGCTTGGGTGCTATATTATTTGGTTACCATCTAGGGTATATACCAGTTCAACCCAGAAGGAACATGCTCTTGTTTCTTGGTTCTAAACTTGTTAATTTAGTGATCTTAGAATCTATATTATACCTTAGACAATTAGTTCTGTAGAAACAGATAAGTATACTCTCCAGTAATACTAACGCATCGGAGAGAATCAATATGGTTCATTATGTGTCCCAAAAAAATACGATGCCTGCAACAAGGGATGTGGGTGAATGTTTCCAGTATTTTGGGAATGGTCAAACACTGGAGAAGATTCCCTCCATTGGTTATATTCTAGATAAAAAAATATTTGTTGCAGAAATTTATGCAAAGAATCCATGATCGATATCTTGGCAGTTGGCATGCTACATTTTTTTTATCATATGGCTTGCTTATTTGTTTGTTGCTTTGTGCTTGGCTTTGATAATGCTACACTCTTCTAATTCTCCCCACCCTCCTTTTCTTTTTCTTTCTTCAGGGTGGTAAATGATGCTCTTGAATATCTATCTAAGGATCTGGGGATTGCTGAAAATACTGTCATGCAAGGCATGTGTTGTGATCTTTAATTGCAATGAAAATTCAGCCTCTTAATTTGTTTCTTTTTCCTTTCCTTTGATTTGTTGTTTGTTTCTAAAATCTTTTACATGTGTATTTTGGTCTCTGATAAACCAAATTCCCATAACACATTTATTGCTTGAAGATTATTTAGTGAAATTAAGTGAAATAGAGCACATTCAACTCCCCATGCTGTTCATCTCTCGTCATGTGTTTTGTTTATAAAAATGAAATGGCTTCGCTTGTAATCATTCGAGCAATGTCAGACATTGTTGGATTGTTTTTTTTGCCTTTTTTTCAATTTGGTTATTTTGATTATGTGTGTAATTTGTTAGTCTTTAAATTGTACAACTTTTTGACTAACTAGCTAACTTCTTATTACGTTATGTTAATTTGAGTAGGATGGGTTTGTTAGCACACTCCTTGCTGGTGCCACTGCTGGTTCATTTACTGGGGGAGAACTGGCAGACAAGTTTGGCAGGACAAGGACTTTTCAATTAGATGCTATCCCTCTTATTATTGGAGCAGTTCTTACTTTGTATCATTTCATTAACTATCAGCTTGTCTACTGTCATAGAAAACTAATTTTTTAAAATCGCTTAAATGTTTTCAGTGCTATGGCCCAGACTGTCCAGACTATGATAATTAGGGTTGGTAGCCCAACCTGTACCCGGTGGGTTCTGACTTGACCCGACCTTATAGGGTCGGTTTTTTTTTTTTTGAAAATCGGGTTTCGGGTTGGGTCGGATTGAGTATTATTAAAGAAGAATAGGGGTCAGGTCAGGTCGGGTTTTAGGAAAACCCGACCCGATCTGATATTATATAAAAAATTATTTTTTAATTTTTTATTTATATATATTTATATATTTATAAAAAATAATATTTTATATTTAAAAAAATAATATTTTATTAATTTTGGGTCGGGTCGAGTACGGTTTATATAATATCGGGTCTGGTTGGATTTTGGTATGAAAAAAATTAAAAAAAATTTCGGGTCGGGTTCGGGTGTGAGCAAAAACCATCCCCGACCGACTTGTTTTCATCTTTATTATTTGCTTTAGTTGTCTAGTTTTTTGGAAACATCTGCTGACATTCTTTCTATTTGTCTGATCTCACCAACTGAAATCCGTGGTGCCCTTGGATCCATAAACCAACTTTTTATATGTATTGGGATTCTTGCAGCGTTGATGGCTGGATTACCTTTAGTTGGAAACCCGCTATGGTATATTATCCTAGAACTTTTTATACTTGTGTCACATGGTTCATTTGGTATGTTAAATTGTGTTTTTACTATTTGTTTGGAAACTACTGAGCGTGCATTCAATCATGCATCTAAAGAGTTTGGACCCTTCTAATTGTTGATGAGAATTGTAGTTAGAAGTTTCTAAAATCTGGGCTGAATTTGGTAATAAAGCTTAAAAGTTTTTTCTTTTTTTTTTTTGGCAGCTGTATTTGGTCGTAAATCTTTCCCTTACTAGTCTCTGAGACCGTTCTTCCTCTCATTGGCCCCTTTTCATGGAATGATAGGCTGATTTTATCCATTTTCTGCATTATTTTTTTCTTTTTTTTCCTTCATTCATCTTGCTGGCAAAAGGGTGATGGGTAGACCAATAAGACATGGGTTAAAAGGATAAAAATGACCTTTCCTTTACTAATCATATTGGGCAAATGTTTTTAGACAAAGCACAATGGTGTAATATAATTCATGTAGTCAATCCCACACACTATGCTGTGGGATTAGGCTTCTTTGTTGTCCATTTGCTGTCATTATACCATATTCATTGTAACTGTATTCCCTACACACCCGACCATTTGTCTCAATCATAGGTGCATGTACCTCCCTGTTGAAAGAGCCGGGGGCAAATCCCTCCTTCCCCCAAAAAGTTGTACTAGATAAAAAAAAGAAAAAGCTCCATCTAACTAGTTCAAATGTCTAATTTTTTGGTATGCTTTATGATCTATCTTTATTTTTTGGATCTTCTTTTGTGTTTGTGAGATTGAGTGAATAGGTCAGGAAAATGCCTCTTCATTGCTATACATATTAATGTTGTGCATGATGTGCCAAAATGTAATTAAGAATTGGATTTTTTTTGCAAATAAATTTTTTTGTCTAGTTAAGCATTTACACTAACTAGTTCTGTCTTATTTATATTCTTTTCTATTAGGTGGAGGACAATGTTTGGTATTGCTGCTGTCCCATCTATTTTATTGCCGCTAGGAATGGCTTTGTCCCCAGAAAGTCCTCGATGCCTGTTTCAAGTTTCTTATTGGACTACTCAGTCTCTTTATTTTGCATTTCTATTCATCTCACATCGATATATGTAATATTGATTCCTTATTGATTGAACACATCAATTTCGCATCAAGGGAAAATTCCTGAAGCTGAAAAATTTGTAAGAACATTAAATGGAAAGGAAAGAGTTGCTGAGGTTATGTACGAGTTAAGCACTGCAGGTCAGGGTTCTACAAAACAAGAAACAGGTGTTTTTTCTTTTCTAATTTGTTTAGAAAGAATTTGTTTTTTTGGTGAATTCTCTAAATTTAGAGGGAGGAGCAGTTTTAATATGGTCTTTTTGTGGTATGTATGTGTTGTGATAAACTTTGATGGTTTTGTTCTTGTTTGTTTTGCCCTTTAGTATATTGGAGTTGAGTATGGAAAAGGTTTTAAGACTTTGAGGCTGGACGGGCCTTTAAAGGTTGATGTGGTATGGAATTTAAGTGACTCTACATTCACTTGGTTGGTTTTGTTAGGGTTTTCAATGAGTTTGGCCACCTTGTTGCCTTACGAATTTCTTTTGGTTTGAATAGGATTACTTGAATGATAGATTACAAGAAGGTTTTCTTAAGCGAATTCACTATACCGTGAAACCAAATGAAGCATATGGTCTAATGTGGTGGTAAGTCAAGCATTTTTCATATATCTCAGAGTCATATGATGATGGATATATACTTTTAGTTGACCTTTTATGTATATTTACTTGTCTTTGTGATGTGAGATTAAATATAGTAAATTAAGTATGTGATATAACAGTCCTAACCAAATAGAAAATAAATGGCTATCATGCCAAACGTGTTTTTAGCTTTGTTTCTCTTTTAAATAAGGTACTTGGATTTAGTGTTATCAAGGTGCTAGGTGCACTGTAGGCTCTAGAACCCTTATATTGCTTGAGGTGCAATGTGTAAAACAATTGGTTGCCTAAGTGAAGTAAGGTGCAATATGTATATATGTGTGTCTACATCTAAAAAAGCTTAAGATATATAATTCTGATAATAAACTGTAAAGACTGGTCCATTTCTAAATTCTATTGTACAAAACATGCAAAATTTCCTCTTTCTTTTTTGGCCAATATAAAGAAAGCCTTTGTTTTTGCAATGGCTATACCTACAACAGCTGTAGTAAACGGGGGCTTGAAGATGGGGAGTGTTTCACAAGCTTATTTAGAGAGCAAAGTAGTGTAAGAGACAAGGTCTTTGATATCTGAGCTTTGTCGCCAGTTCAATAATCTTGGATGGGTCTGAAAAATAGGCGGGAGCATCACCATGAAGGTTCATGATAGTTGTATCCCTAAGCCTGAGGAGCTCAACCTTATGTCCCCTTCTGGTACTTATTTCTCTATCAATCACCTTTTTTTGGCTTCTGAATAGTTAGTATTGAAGGTCAAAGATGTGTTTTTTAAACCTTTTTATGATTTTTTTTTTAGTTTTGATATTTGGACCATTGTTATTGTAGCTTAATTATTGGTTTGTCCTATTTTTTGGTTCTTGGATCCTGGCTATTTGTTATTGAAGCTCAAAGCTCTATTATTTTATGACTAATTTGGGAAGTTTGACTTGGGTTATTATTTTAGCTGCGTTATTATTATTATTATTATTATTATAACTTTTTGGTTTTTGGGTTTTGTTATGCAAGCTAAAAGTTGTATTTTCTTATGATTAATTTGGGATGTTTAATATTATAGGTTTTTTATTATCTTAGCTTTGTATTTACTTTTCACGGTTCCTTTGGCTTATGTGCACTTCATATCCAAGCTCAAGTCAGTCTTTGTGTATTAATTTGGAATGTTTGCTATTTGGGTTGTTGTTTTTCTATGAAAGTTAGGTTTCATTCGTTATTTTCATCTGCTAAAATTGATGTATGCTATCCTTGCAAATAAAGCAATGCTCTTGCAAATTTATGTTGCTATGAAGGCCATGCCTTGGTACTGTGCTCTCCCAACTCTTTCTGAATACATGGTTGAAAATGGCTGGACAAAATGTCATGCTAGAATAAGCGATGTTGGTTGGCTTCCCTATGTAGTATATTTATTTGCATATCTCGTGCTGGTGGAGTGTGGGATTTAATGGATGCATCGAGAGTTGCATGATATAAAACCTCTATACAAGTATCTTCATGCAAACCATCACATCTACAACAAACAAATACCCTTTCTCCATTTGTTGGTAAGTTATTTCCTATGCACTCTAGTTTCTATGGTTTGTAGTTACTTCCACCGACTAAATTTTACTTGCTTGTCAAAGTTTGCACCATATGCGAGTAGTGCTTTTTTCATTATCTTGCTTAACAATAGACACAGCTTATGCTTGTTTTATATATCAAATTGCAGACCTATTCATTTATAGATAGATAAATGAATAAGGTCATACTTGACAAGTTTAGTTTAAAAAGGATTCAGAATCGGCTTGTTTTGCTAGTTCGGTTTTTTGGGCTCTCATACTCTTTTATAGTGTGACCATAGCAGACTTTAGATTTGAATGCAAAAGATGCCTTGAATTGACATAAGTTTAACCATTATCTTTGTCAACTTGCATGTGAGATTATTAATTTGCTTTGCACTGTATTTTTCTTATTGAAACTAATGTTGCCACCTAGCTCCAACTTAGGTAGGTAAACCATTATTCATATCTTGGATTGTAGAAAATTTAAAGAACAATTGTTCTTATTTCTTCTTATTCAATCTACAATGAAAGAGTAAATCTGAATATATAAGAATAGTAAAGTTCCTTATTAGGAAACAAATGACAGGAAATAGAAAACAAAAAATAATAAAATGAAGGAGAATTATTCTATTCTAAAATTAAAAACAAATCCTTAAAAACTTGACAATCAGAATAGTTGACTTAATCTGAAGAGTAAATGAGAAATATTCTCAAAATAAATTAGAAAATCAAGTTGCACTAATGTAGGAGAATTAGATTTTTACATTTTCCTCAAGTTGGGTTATGAATGTTAATCATACTTAGCTTGGATTTCAATTCGTCAAAAATGCTTTTAGGAAGAGTTTTAGTCAAAATATTTGCAATTTGTAAACTTGCAGGGATATAGGCCAGTTTGATCAACTAGTTTTTTGTCTTTTCTTTTATGAAATGTTGATCTAGCTCTATGTGTTTGTTCCTATCACAGTAAACAAGATTTTTGGCAATACTTATAATAACCTTATTATTACAAAGTAGTGTCATAGATGTTACAGTTTGAACTTTTAATTATCCAAGTAACCTTATCAGTCAAATTCCTTCACAAATATCATGGGACATTGCTCTAAACTCAGCCTCACCACTGCTTCTAGCTACAACAGCTTGTTTTTTACTTCTCCAAGTGACCAAATTACCCCAAATATGTGTAATATTTAATAGTGGACCTTCTATTTGTTATTGATCCAGTCTAATCAACATCTGTGTACACTTCGACTATCTTGTCCATTGATTTTTTAAAATATAAACCTTTACCAGAATTGTTCTTTAAGTACTGTAGGATGCGATGAACAACCTTGAAATGCTCATTGGTTGGATTATTCATGTATTTACTTACCATCTTTACTACAAACTCGATATCAGGTTATGTGGAAGAGGTAAATAAGCTTCCCAACTAGTCTTTGGTATCGCTTTTTGTCTGAGAGAGCTTCCATTTTGACTTTCAATTTTATTAGTTGAGTCCATTGGCGTATTGATAGGTTTGCATCCAATTATATAGGTTTCTTTAAGTAGATCAAGTACATGCTGACGTTGAAACATTGATATTTTATTCTTAGACTAAGCCACTTCCATTCCAAGGAAATATATAAGGAACCCCAAGTCTTATTTCAAACTCCTTTGTAAGGAGTTTTTTCACATCATCTATTCCTTTTCCGGTGATTATGATATCATCTACATAAACAATAGAAATAACTTTTTTTCCTTCATTAGTGAACTTAACAAACATAGTAAGTTCATATTGATATTGAAAGAATCCACACCTTTCACTGCTTTGGTCAATTGTTCAAACCAAACCCAAAGAGATTGTTTAAGTCCACACAAAGATTTTTGGAGTTTGCACACTTTGCCTATGTTGTTTTGTCTTTTGAAACCAAGGGGAATTTTCATGTAAACATCCTCCTTTAAGTCACCATTTAAGAATGCATTTTTTATATCCAATTAGTGGAGAGGCCAATCCAAGTTGGTTATTAGTGACAATAGAATTTTAATTGAATTGAGTTTAGTTACCGGAGCAAATGTCTTTTCATAGTCTATCCCACAAGATTGAGTGAACCCGTTTGCAACAAGTTTAGTTTTGAACCTATTTATACTTTCATCTACATTGTGCTTTATTGTGAAGATTGACTTACATCCAATTGAGTTTTTTCGTTTGGGTAAATCTGAAATTTTTCATGTCTTATTTTTCTTTAGTGCCTTGATTTTTTCGAGAACTATTGCCTTCCAATTTAATTCATTAAGGGCTTCTTTGGAATTTGCATGTTATCAAGGTTAATGGTAAAGGCTCAAAAGTTTGGATTTAACCTGTCATATGAGATATACTTACAGATAGGGTATCAGATGCATGATCTCACACCTTTTTTTAATGCCATAAGAATGTCAAGGTCATCAGCTGGCTCACAAGTTTTAGTTTTAAATTTAATAGGGATATTACTTGTGTCAGTTTTAAGTTTTTGGAGACTCGGATCGGGTTGATTTTTAATGTTGGGTTGTGTACAGTTGTCCATTTTTTCTTGCATAAACTTAAGGTTTGAAGAGTTAAGAGTTGTCTAAATAGGTTGGGTTTCAGAATTTGCATGGCTGATAGGCTAGGTGGGTTAAGAATTTAGTTTTGAAAAGGTTGATTACGAATCTGGTTTTGAAGAGGTTGGTTGGGAAATTGGTAAGTCATCAGTTAAAAATTGATATTCCTGAGTAATATTCTCCCTCTGAATATCATTTTTGTTATAGTATGAAAGATTCTTAAAGAAGGTAACATCTATAGAGATAACTGGCTTATGGTAGCCAAGTGTTCATAGTGATGTTGCTTTTTTATTTTCGATGTCAGCTTTCCTATTATTATGAAGT